AGAGAGAGAGAGAGAGCACAAGCAGGGGGAGGGGCAGAGGGAGAGGGAGAAGCAGGCTCTCTGCTGAGCAGGGAGCCTGACATGGGGCTCAATCCCAGGACCCTGGGATCGTGACCTGAGCCCAAGCCAGACCCTTAACCAACTGAGCCATCCATAGTGTGCCCCCATAGTGGTCTTTTAAAAACATGTCACTCTAGGGGCACCTGGGTGGTTCAGTCGGTTAAGCGTCCAACTCTTGATTTTGGCTCAGGTCATGATCTCAGGGTTGTGAGATCGAGCTCTGCACTGGGTGTGGAGCCTGCTTAAGGTTCTCTATCTCCCTTTCCCTATGCCCCTCCCCTCAAAACACGTATCACTCTCTTGCTTAAAAGTATCTCATATTCCACTTAGAATAATGTCAACTCCTTAACATATACCCTACATGATCTGACCCTGCCTGTCTTTCAAACTTCATTTCCTACTACTCTATCCCTTGGTCATCCTACTGTAGCCACTCTGGCCTCTCGTTTGTAATTTAAATAGGCCAAATTCTTTTCTGCTTCATTTTGTACTTACTCCTTCCTCTGCTCAAGATGCTTTGCTCCCAGGTTTTCCTGTGGCTGTCTTCCTGTCATTCCTGTCCATGTGTTTGTTATTTGTCTACCCCCTCTCACCATTCTGTAAGATACAAAAGGATAGTCATGTCACTTGTCTTGTTTGTACTATATTCTGAGCCTCTAGAACAAAATAGGATACGTAGCTAGAGCTCAGTAAATATTAGTTAAATAATGGGGCACCTGGGTTGTGCAGTTGGTTAAGCATCTGACTCTTGGTTTTGGCTCAGCTTGTAGATCTCAGGGTTGTGAGATCGAGCCATGTGTCGGGCTCCATGCTCAGCGCAGTGTCTGCTTGAGTTTCTTTCTCCCTCTCCCTCTGCCCGCCACTCGTGCTCTCTCAAATAAATAAATCTTTAAAAAATATTCAGTGTGGAGGTTCCTCAGAAATTTAAAAATAGAGCTACCCTATGACCCAGCAATTGCACTACTGGGTATTTACCCCGAAGACACAGATGTAGTGAAAAGAAGGGGCATATGCACCCCAATGTTCATAGTAGCAATGTCCACAATAGCCAAACTGTGGAAAGAGCCAAGATGCCCTTCAACAGATGAATGGATAAAGAAGATGTGGTCCATATATACAATGGGATATTACTCAGCCATCAGAAAGGATGAATACCCAACTTTTACATCCACACGGATGGGACTGGAGGAGATTATGCTATGTGAAATAAGTCAAGCAGAGAAAGTCAATTATCATATGGTTTCACTTATTTGTGGAACATAAGGAATAGCATGGAGGACATTAGGAGAAGGAAGGGAAAAATGGGGGGGGGAATTGGATGGAGAGATGAACCATGAGAGACTATGGACTCTGAGAAACAAACAGGGTTTTAGAGGGGAGGGGGGAGGGGGGATTGGTTAGCCCGGTGATGGGTATTAAGGAGGGCACGTATTGCATGGAGCACTGGGTGTTATACGAAAACAATGGATCGTGGATCACCACATCAAAAACCAATGATGTATTGTATGGTGACTAACATAACATAATAAAATTTTAAAAATGTATTAGTTAAATAAATGAATGAATGAGGTTTAGTTTAATAAGAATTATCAAGTCCCTGTTATGAGTTAAGTACTATGCTTGATACTGGGGTTTTAGCAAAGAATTGGATATGGTGCCCATCCTACAAGCAAAACAAGAATAAATTTATGGATAATAGTCATGTAAAAAGCCCTTTATGGTTGATTGATAAAATACATTGGTCATATTTTCTTGGAAATATGTAGACTCTTTTCAGTCTTACTTATTTCTTTGGAGGGAGTGTAGGAGATGAAAATCACTAGGTAAAGCTGAAAGTCAGTGGGGAAGTGACTTCAGCAATCAGCTATGAGAGAGTGTCATGGGTTGTTTCTTGAGCTTGAGGAGCTGTGACCAGAATTGAGTTTCCAGGCTAGGACAATAGTCAGAAACACTGATCATGAGGCATTTGTGCAATTGGTGTGGTTTATTTTTATATTCTGTCATTTCCCAGGCAGTTATACACCCTCTTTTCATTGCCTCTTTATTGAGGGTTCTGAAGCTTTTCTGCTCATGCTTGGCCTCGTTATTATCCAAATCTACTGATAGGAAAGGATCTGAGACTCATACCCACTGAGAAAACAAGCTCTGCTATCAGAATTATCCTTGTCAGGGCATTTAACATTTTTAAAAGGAATCAAAGTTGTATGCCATGGGTCTCTAACTGTTCTGTGAGGAGAAGAAACTTAACAGTTATTGACATGCATTAAAATAACTGGAGATTGGAGGGCTGTGTTAGGGAAAGCCCTGTATTAGTGAAGTTAGTAGACTATAGGTGGGATTGGGGCAGGTGGTGGGTCAGATGTTGATAGCAAAGGCTCTGAGTGAGCACAGCATCAGAAACAGTGTTCACTGGGAAAACTGGAAAACCTTGAAGAATGGAGAACGATGGATGGGAGATACAACTTTATTAACAGCTTTGAAGAGATAAGAGATAGGCCTTAAAAGATATTCTAGTTAGGTGTCTGGATCTGCCTAGAGGCCTTGACACAGCCGTACCTTCTCTGGCATATTATGATAACTGGGTTTAGGTGGAATGCAGAAGACTTAAAGAAGTCAAGAAAAGGAAAGAACTGGAGGTTGAAAATCATAAAGTTTTTGGCGAGGTGTGTACAGTGGAAATTGAATTGGATGATCTTCAAGGTCTTTTTCAATTTGAAACACTTCTCTGTTTATGATAATTTACAAGCAATTAGTTAGTCTACATCAGCTCCTTCATTAGCACTCAGCATTTTCTCATGAGAGTCTTTTCTATAAAATTAATTATAACTTTGAAAAATCTAATACCCATAGCTAATCATTTTAATGTGACAGTTTTCTATCCTTTCTTTGTTTTTCTAAAAAGGTGAAGTCAATCCAGAAACCTCCAGAGAGCAATCTGATTGGATTCCATCATTTCAGAGCTATGAAGACTTCAAGTGTAAGACACTGCAAGTAAGAGGGGGTTTGTTCTTGGATTACCTCATATGTTATAACACATCCAATAGAAGATGAAGAATACTGTTTTTCACCGTGTGACTAAGAGACCATGCATCTCAGGATTACCTAGGGAGCTTGGTAAAAATACAGATTCCTGGGACCCACCTTAAACTGTCTGAATCAGAGTCTCAATTCTGGTAGGGCCAGGAGCCTGCATTTCTAACAGGCTCTCCAGATGCTTCTTATGCCAACTGAGTTTTGAAAACCACTCATCTTGAGTGACAACAAATACGAACAAATCTTTGTTAGTGGCAAATTAAATACTATCTGGTAGACCCTTCAACATAGATTGTTAGCCTCTAAAAAACAGGCCTTCAAGTCTTCCTTTTTCCCCTCAAGGACATGAGGTGTTTATGGTTTCTAGCTCCAAGGAAACTGCTTAGTTTCACTAAGTTCAAAGGCCAAAAACTAAAGCCAGAATGACCATGGTCTTTTGAGTCAGATAGATAGGGCTATGAATTGTGCCCTTGTCATTTACTTGCTCTGTGTCCTTGAGAGAGTTATTGTCCCTGAGCCTTGGTTTCTTTCTCTGTAAAATGGGTATTAAAAAATCTCTTTCACTGACTTGTGAGAATAAGGTAGATAGGTGTAAAATATCTAGCACACTTCCTCACTCCCTTCTCCATGTCATTCAGTTTCCCATATTTTCTATTCCCGTGTCTCTCTGTGTTGAGATCTGAGTCATTTCTTCAGCTCTGTTTTCTTTCCAGCTGTGTTCTAGCATGCTATGTAACTGTACAGTGAGTTTTTATTTTTTGACAATAATATCATTTCTAGAAATTGTGTTTCTTTTTCACATCTGCCTGGTCAGTTCTGAGTCTCTTGTTCCTTCATCATATTTTCAATACCCTTTGTTATTTATTTAAGCCATTTAAGCAAACTTATTTTCTATTTTATCTTCAATAATTCCTGTACTGTTTTTGAATCTGATTCTGCATTTTATTATTTGTACTGCCCCTTGTTCATGATGTTTCATTTCTTCCTGGTGTTATTAATATCTTATTACAAGCTCATGTTATTTGGAGCTTTATCCACATGAATTCCTTGAGCCCTGGTTTTAGACTGATTCTCTAGGGATGATTTCAGTTTCTTTTTACTAGATGTCTGGGGTCAGGAACCCCTTAAACTGAATAATGGGCTTGGGCTGTGGAAGTCTACAGAGGTAGTTCGTGAATTCCAGCTCCCAATCTGTGTGAGTGCGGGCTTCTGTTTAGCACTTCTCAGAAGAGACTAGTTTTGGTTTTCCCTCTCTAGCCAGAGCCGAGGCTGAGGCAGGCATGTGCATTCACTGTCTCCCTTTGCTGGATAAGATCTGTTTTGCCTGCTAAGAGTGTTACCCTTTGGGAAGCTTGGTTTTATGCAGAAGTCTCTGATGCCACTTCCCACCTTGTGTAAGCCTGGGTTTGCTTTCTCTCCCCCAATCTCCATGCCATCAGTGTTGTACAGGTATTTCCAAGGCAAATACAGACTCCAATATCCCCTTTCCTTTTAATTCCCATGTTCTAGTCATTTCCAATACCAGATTGTTTGCTTTACTTTACAATAAGCTTGGTCTTTTTATGAAATAGAAGTTTTTGTATACTTTATTCATCATTTTAGGGGTTCTTTACCAGGAGGCATTTGTCTGGATATCAAATCCATTATATAGCTGGAAAGTAATGGAAATATCCATATTTATAAGTAGATGACTGAACTAACCACAAATAAAATGCCCTGCAAAATATTCTTAGCATTTTTGAAATTAATTTTGAATTAAATGTGAAACAACCTACATACGGAAATGAATCTTCCTAGCTTGTGTTGCAGAGTTTTGTGTTAATTGGGTATACGTTAAAATTTGTTTGTCTAAGTGACACATCATTTGATAAACATCTCATGCTTAAGGTTAAGTAGATTCTGTGTAGGAGGCAGAATAATGGAATTTTAATTAAGTCTGTGTCTGCTTTATTGATATTTAAGGACCACAATGCATTTTCAGTGTGCTATTACAATTATTTATGCATTTTGAAATAAAGCTATCATTTTATTATTGTTCCACTATTTAATTACATTATTATTCTCTCTTCATTAGTCATTAGATGGCTTTATGATAATACTGAGCGCAGATGGAGTGATAATTTTTGTCGCTGGAAACATCACTTGTCTCCTTGGCCATTTACCAGTAAGTTTTTCCAGTTTGGTGGGAGGGATCATTCTGGTTTATTGTTTAGAGGTTCATCATTTGTTTTCAGGAACATATAACTCATCAGAGAAGATGTTTGCTCAATGTGTCAAAATGTGCACCTGTTTTATTGTCATCTTCATTGGTTTCAGTTTTAGATCTATAATAACAAAATTCTGATATGAGGTAATGCGGTACTGTGTGTGTGTGTGTGTGTGTGTGTGTGTGTGTGTGTGTAGTTTCTAAACTGCCCCTGAAGGCAGTCTCCAAAGAAGAATGTGGTTTTGAAATGGCAGTCTCCTCAGTATCAGTGGATAACCTCCAAGGTGACTGCTTTGCGAGGCAGCCCTCACTGGAATGGATATGTTTGATTTTGTGCATTTCTTTAGAGTCCACTATATACTGATTAAACAATGAATGTCGTGATTTGTTTGTGCTGGCCCATGGCATCCATTCCCAGATCCGATTTGCTTTTGTTTCTTTATATTGAAGAACAAATTATGATCTCATTTAGAAAAAAAATATAGAAGTGATGACATAGTTTAGCAGGAGACATCTACCCATGAGTTGCAGTCAGGGTCTGTGGTGTCCAAAAAGGTCACTCAGTCCTGAGCTCTTTGGTGTCACTATGCCCTTCTTCTCTATCTTCATAGGACCATTGACTTAGAATATGTGATTTCCGAAAAATTTTTTCTGGACCTTCAGGCTGCACATCTAACAAATATACCACTTAAATATGAAAGTACTACATACCTTCCTATTCCATTAATGCATGTGTATGAAGAGAAGATATTTAGAATACATTCTCCTCCACTCCTGAAATCTCTGTCACTTGGCTAGTTTTGTGAATCATATTTGGATTTTTGCTTTCATTGTATATTACTCATTCCACAGAGTTGTCTAAAGAACTTGACAAACCCTGACCCAGAGATCTATAGTACTCAAGTTTGAAACATGTAAATTAATAGAAGTTTTGTTACATTATTCTTCAGTTAAGTTAGAAGTGGATTAGAAGTTTATTCAACCAGTTATGCTATTCCAGCTGACATGTTGCATGGCCCAGTTAGAAGCATAGAGAGCTTTTCTACTATTTTCTCTTTATTTACAGATAATATGATACATATCTTTATTTCTCATTCTCTTTCTTTTTTTTAGAAAGCAGTTGACATTTTCAAGCTCAGCTTATAATTGTAGGATACCCAAACAGCTGAATAAAATACACATATTAGAGAATTGTTGAATTGGACTTTAGAGTACTTATATCATGGAAGAAGAATGATCTTATTAAATCTATATTAAAAGAAAGAATGTTTGAGTATGATCCATGACAGGTTAAGTTTTGTTATAATGAAGACCAGAAAGCTTCCCAAATTCTTGTATTAGATATTACTTGAACCAAACTGGTCATTGACTGACATTGGTGGATTTTTCCTATTACATGAGGATTTTGCACAGTGATGGTCTTAGTTGTATTATCCTTGTTTTTTTATGTAGTTTGGTTCAAAGTTTTCCCCTCAAGAGAATCTTTTACCTTTCAGCATTTTAGGTAATACACGGACTCATCCGAAGGTAGAGGTGTCTGAGACATGGGGTTGAATGACTAATCTTAAACCATGGACTTGATTACCTGAGATGGGTATATTTAAAAATAAAGCTATGACTATTAGGTCTGTACATAAACATTAAATGGGAATGAAGTTATATAGCATTGCTGAAAAAGACCATAGCTGAGGCATGATTTCACACTTTTCCTCATTAAATCCTAAGTCTTCTTAATTTGTAACAACACACAATTTTTTTTCCAGGCTTTGATTAAAAATTTCATTTTATAAATCATTTATTTTATATTAATATAGAGACAAAACCATTTCTAGAGTATCTTCCTGGCTCCAGGAATCCACAATTTCATTAAATATTGATACCTCTCTCTCTTGGGCAACTCTAAACTGATAGCATGGTGGATGGAAAGAACTTTGTCTTTGAAGTCAGATAATCTGGAGATTAAAATTTTGTTCAATCACTCACTAGCTACGTGAACTTTAGTTTCTCATCTGTAAATGTGGTAAAAAGTACTACTTAGAGAGTGACTGGAGGTGGACTATTACAAATGTGGGGTTAGTGAAGACCTGCCTTATTAGGTGACATTTGAACAGAGGCCGGAGTGGAGTGAGTATGTGAGTCATGCAGATAACTGGAGCAAGTATGTTCCAGGCAGAAGCAAAAGCAAGTGAAAAGGTACCAAAGCACAAATGTACTTGGTGGGGAAAACGTACGGTAGAGGGGCTGTTGTGACCGGAGCCCTGTGAGCAAAAGGACAAATACTAGGAGGTGATGAGGTCAGAGCAGTAACAAAGGTCCACTTCGTTGAGGACCATTGTAATGACTGTGCCTTTTCCTCTGAGATGGGAAAAAGCCATTGTGGAGGTTGGAGCAGATGAGGGAAATTATCTGAACCTAAGTTTCTTGGGATCACTCTAGCTCTTATGTTAAGAATAGGCAATGGGTCGTTTGTTTTGTTTCTTAAATCCCACATATGAGCAAAGGAAAAAAAAAGAGACAAACCAGGAAACAGACTCTAACTCTAGAGAACAAACTGATGGTTCCCAGAGGTGAGGTGGGGGGTGGGGGGGGGTGAAACAGGTGATGGGGATTAAGGAGTGTACTTGTCTTGATGAGCACAGGGTGTTGTATGGAAGTGGTGAATCACTATATTGTACACCTGAAACTAATACAACACTGTATGTTAGCTATACTGGAACTAAAAAAAAAGGAGTAGGTTATGGGGGCAGGCATGAAAGGTAGAGAGTCCACTTGGAAAGCTATTGCAATAGTCCAGGCAATTAGATGGTGATGGGTTGCATTAAGGTGGACGTGGAAGTCATCAGTGTTTTGTAGGTAAAATAAGTTTTGCTGATGGATTAGTTGGGGGTGTGACAAAAAGATGTGAAGAGTCCAAGGTATGTCATTGTAACACATACAATCATGGCTAAAATGATGGCTTATTATCATCATCATGTATTAAATTTATATCTGAAATCTGCCATCGTATTTTCCCATTTATTTTCCTTGACAGTGTTTCCCTTTGGAAAAACTTGCAGTCACTTGTAGTACTAACCTGTAGTTCCGAGAAGCCTGCCCTCCTACTCACCCCACTTCATCACTCCCCCCCCACAAAAAAAAATTAAAACTGGGAATTTACATGTAGTTGTTCTCTTACAATTCTGAAGCAGATGAAACTTTTCAAACACACATTTCCTTATGGAAAGAGTTTCTCAGCATTGAGTTTGTAAGAAACTTTAGCAGGTTTTGAACATAAGTATATGGTTAGTTTGTGATAATTGTGATGAGTTTTGTTTTGTTCTCCCTGCAAAGCTTACAGTATAGTAGAGAATTACTAGTGATGAATCCTGTTTGATTCAAAATGCAGTCTGAATTTTGTGCAGAGGCTCTTATCCTTCCCTGTGCCCTATACAGTTGAACAGTTTAATTTGAATGTCTCTGCCAACAAAAAGATATTTCTTGCCCAGATTCTCAGTAAATGTCATAGAGTGGAGTAAATTCCTTTACTTTTTTTTTTTACATGACTGAGGCTTGCCATACTAATATTCGTGGGACAACTAATAGGTATTTGCAAACTTGACTTTTCAGAAACCTCCTTAACTTTTCACTGGTATTTATCCTTGCTTCATTAAGCTTTGAGTGCCTTGATCTTTCTGCCTTGTGTAATAAGAAGAGCAAATGCCAAAGATTTACAAAAATAACATGGTGTAGATAATGTTTTCAGATCTCTGCCCTTTAACTACAGAGCAGGATCGTTGGAATGATTGTTACATTCACTTTTTTTAGTTGATGGTCAATTATAGGGCATTAATTGTCACTATCACGTTCCTTAAAGAATGTAGTTAATTAATAAGAAACTAATTGCCAGTATTTCCATCCAAGGGAATGTACACTCTCAAAAGACTGCTCACTTTGAATTCTTTTATGTGTCAATGCTATCCTTTATTCTTCTACCAATGAAAGAACTGGTGAGCCATGGCACTTTGTACCTCTTGTTAGGGTCTTATTGTATACTTGGCATCATCATTTTGTGCCTGTCTCATCTGCGTTACTGAACTATGTATTCATTAAAATTAGAATTCATGTCAGGATCGTCATTTTTAACCCTCCTAAGTACTTAGTAAAAAAAGAAATTGATAAATTACTTCAGGTAGAATGTCCACAGTGAGGAAACTGGCCCAGTAGCAAGCCAAGTGCTCCTGATACAAATTGGACTTGAGGCAGCCATGGTGTAGCGGAGGGAGCAATAGACATAGAGTTAGTTGGATGGACTTGGGTATGAATCTTATCTCTGAACTTCTGGCTTCTCATTGATTGAACAAGCCTTCATTTCCTTGTGAACAAAATAGGCGATAATTCTTCCTCTCACAGGGCATTATGTAAACTAGTTTGTGTGAATATACCTAGCACAGTGTCTGGCATAGAGCAGTGTTAATCATGTGTTAGACAAATGAATGAATGAGTGGTCTCCACTCACCAAAGGTAACTTGGTTTGGTACCTAAAGTTTATTTTATAACTAAACCAATAAAAGAATTTTTATTGAAAAAGTTAAGTTTAATGAAAAATATATTTCTTTTGGGAAGTAAATTTCTTATTGAGTGACTTTCATTGTCAACATTTATTGCCTGTTAATTTCATTATGTTTTGTTTGCTAAATTAAGGTATTATTTCTGCCCTGAATCGAGTCATGCTTTTTCTTGATTGGGATAGGATCCATCTGCTAATTTAAGCATTGGCTAACTCATAGGCTGGCTTCTGCAAATGGTCCATAAAAATATATTTCTGAATTTTGACTGTATATTATTAATATTAATCAGTTAAAAAATTATTTGAATTTTTGGTTCATCACCCAAAACCATTATTCAACTACAAAGAATACTTTGTTTATTACTTTGTTCCTATCACATTAAAAACTCATTACTTAACTTAATGCCTTATATTCAATTTATCCATGTGTCACCTTATTTCAGCTACATGGTACAGCATTATTCATTCATTTAACCAACATTTATTGAGTGCTCACTTGTGCCAAGCTGTGCTCTAGGTGTTGAGGATGTAACAGTGAATAAGACAACCAAGGTCTCTGTTCTAATGCAATTTACATTTTACTGAGGGAGACAGATAATCAACAGGTAAACATATACTATAATGTCGGGTAGTGGTGAGTGTGCTATGAAAAAAAAGCAGGAAGGTAATGTCAGGAAATTGGTGCTGTTTAAAATACTTTTGAGTAGAGAGTTGAATGAATAAGGGAAAGCATCATTATAAATATCTGAGAAACAATGTTTCACATTGAATGAAGAGCAAGTTTAAGGGCCCCAAGGTGGCTATTTGCTTGTTGTTTTTGGAAATGAACAAGTACTTTGGCTTTTGCTTTGAATAACTTGGGTAACTGGTGGAAAATGTTAGGTAGAGGAATAACTTGACCTGACTTATGTTTTAAATGAAACACTGTAGCTGCTTTGTGAAGAATGGAGTGGGAGCTGGGCTGTGGCAAAAATAGATGCAGGGAGACCAGTTAAGTCTGTTTGTAGTAATCCAATCTAGAGATAATGGCTTAGCCCATGTGTTGAAAAGTGGACCGATTCTGCCTGTATATTGACAGTATTACCAAGAGTTTCCTGATGGACTGGGTTTGGGGTTTAAGAGGAAAAAGACAAGTCAAGGACAAGCATGTGGGTAAATGGTGGTGCCTTTTACTGAAATGCAGAAGACTGAGGGAGGAGCATGTTTTGTGAGGGAAAAGATCCAGGTACGGTGTTTTGAATATCTTAAAATTGAAATCCTACTAGACATCTAAGTTATCTAGAAGAGTTCAGAGAGAAGTCTGGACCAGGTGGGAAGATAGATGGTATTTAATAAGCTAGAACTGGAAGAGACCACCCAGGGAGACAGTACAGTAAAAGCAGTCTAGTGACTAGGCCCTAGCCACTCCGATGCCAAGTAGTCAGAGAGAGGAGAAAGCTCCAGCAAAGAAAACTGAGAAGGTGTAGCCTTTGAAGCAGAAAGATACCCATATTTGTATGGCATCCTGGAAACCAAGTAAACAAAATATTTCAAGAAGAAGGAGGGATTCATTGTATCGAATGCTGCCATGTCAGGTAAGATGAGAATTGACCATTGCGTTTGGCAATGTGGAGGTCACTGGTGACCTTGACAAAAGTGGAGTGATTAGGGTAAAAATCTGATTAGCATGGTTTCAAGGGAGAGTGAGGGCTGAAGAAATGAGAGGCAGCAAGTATAGTTTCTTTCAAAGATTTTTGTTCTGAAGTAGACCAGAGAAGAGGTGGGGGAGAGAGTGTAGGGTCAAAGAAGGTTTTGGATTTGGGGAATTTTGTGTTGTTTTTGTTTTTAAGATGACTGATATTATAGCATCTCTGATAAAGCATTTGCATGCTCTGGGAAAGACCTGGTAGACAGGGAAAGCTTGACGCTGTGGGGAACAGGGAAATTTCCAGAATGATGTCCTTGACTAGTTGAGAGAGGATGAGAGGCTGTGCACTAGTCTTCGTTGGAAGCTTATTCATTGGAATAGGAGAAAAAGTAGGTTTCTAACCACAGAAACAGATAGGTTGGTACATTTGATGGCAGGAAGATACTGATGTTTCTTTTACCTTTTCCTTTTAATTGCAATAAGAAGTGAGATCCCCAGCTGAATATGAGGAGGATGAAGGAGGGTTGGAGGTTTGAAGAAGGAGGAAAAGGCAAGTCATGATCACACTGAAGAGTAGACAATTTCCAGACAGATCTGAGTGCCCATTTAAAATAATATATGGTTGTGGGTTTTTCACCATAGACATGCAGTTGCTTGGGTGAAGGTATAAGGGAGATGAAGAGTTGAAATGAACCAGAGTTGGGATTTTCCCAGGCAGATATGTCAGAGAGAAAGAGAACATGGCAGTGATTATAATGATCCACCAAGGAATCTGAGCTGGGTAAGGAGGGATGTGACAATTTGCAGGAGATAATGCCCAGTGAAAATGTGATGAGAATGGACTGGAGGTCTCAGTGTGTGGAATAATTATTGGGAAGGTGGGGTACTTGTATGAGTGCAGTGGAAAGGTAGGAGGTAATGGGCATAGAGTGGGATAATGTGAACTGGGACTTGTAGAGGTATAATAGGTAGGAGGACCAAGAGATGGTGAGAGGGAGCCGATGATAAGCTTACTGGAGGTAAGGAGGTGGAGGAAGTGAGCCATAGTAGTAGCACGTATAACAAAATGTATTTTCTCTCTTTCTCAAGAATGATATCGTAGGTAAAAAGTTACTAAGTCTTCTGCCTGATCATGAGAAAAACGATGTCTATCGAAAGATTGCTCTCAAACTTCCCTTGTCAAACTCAGGTACAGATTGTTTTTTCTCAATTGTAAGTTCTTAGATTTTAAGAGACAAGTAACAGTCACTCGGAGGAATAATAAAAATAAAAACATTAGGGCCAATATAGCGGCTGATTATATATTAATATAATTTCACAAATTATATTTCCAGTATTAAAAAATTTCTCCTCCATTAAATCTTGTTCTTTATCATGAACCCTGATAATTTCAGCTTTTTTTTTTAAAGATTTTATTTATTTATTTGAGAGAGAGAGAGAGAGCATGAGAGGGGGGAGGGTCAGAGGGAGAAGCAGACTCCCCGCCGAGCAG